ATGCCTACTTGCTGTAAATCGCAGACTGGTGTTATTTTTGAATTGCTTGCCATTTCCAAACCGTAACTCCGATTCCGGCGTTCTTTGTATAGTTTTCAAGCGATTTCATCTCATCTTTCCAGTTGCACCCTTAGAATTCCAAGTTGAGGCCAGGTTTGCATTTCCTGTCATATTTTGCATTTTGCATCCCGCATCGCATCCCGCATAGCATATCATCGTTGCATCGTCTTGTTTGATCCTTACACGTGGTTGATTGTATCCTTGTTGCTTGTTTGTCTTGTTTGGGTAGAGCCGGGAGACGAGTTCGCTAACGAGGAGCCCGTTGAGTTTGGTTTTGAGGATCCAGTCAACTCTGACAACTGTGCAGGCAAGATGATCATACCCTCGAAATCACTACTATTTTTGCTATGTAGTTTACTCGCTCTTTTGCTATGCCAATGCTACAATGCCTACCACTTGCTTGAAAGCCTCCCAAATTGCCATGTCAAACCTCTAACCCACCATTGTCCTAGCAAACCGTTGATTGGCTATGTTACCGCTTTGCTCAGCCCCTCTTATAGCGTTGCTAGTTGCAGGTGAAGATTGGAGGTCGTTCCTTGTTGGAACATCTTTTATTTACTTGTTGGGATATCACTATATTGCCATGTTATCTTAATGCATCTATATACTTGGTAAAGGGTGGAAGGCTCGGCCTCTCGCCTAGTGTTTTGTTCCATTCTTGCCGCCCTAGTTTCCGTCGTATCGGTGTTATGTTCCCAGATTTTGCGTTCCTTACGCGGTTGGGTTATAATGGGAACCCCTTGGTATTTCGCCTTGATTAAATCTTTTCAGCAATGCCCAACATTGGTTTTACCATTTGCCACCTAGCCTTTTCTTTCCCTTGGGTTCTGCAGACTCAAGGGTCATCATTATTTTAACCCCCCCGGGCCAGTGCTCCTCTGAGTGTTGGTCCAAACCGTCAGCCGCCGGTGGCTACCAGGGGCAACTCTAGGCTGGCCTACCGGAAGTTTGGACAATCTGAGTGTGCCCTGAGAAAGAGATATGTGCAGCTCCTATCGGGATTTGTCGGCACATTCGGGCGGTGTTGCTGGTCTTGTTTTAACCTGTCGAAGTGTCTTGAATTACCGAGATACCGAGTCTGATCGGAACGTCTTGGGAGGAGGTTTATTCCTTTGTTAACCATGAGAGCTTGTCATGGGCTAAGTTGGGACTCCCCTGCTGGGATTGAACTTTCGAAAGCCGTGCCCGCGGTTATGGGCAGATGGGAATTTGTTAATGTCCGGTTGTAGATAACTTGAACCTTAATTAATTAAAATGAATCAACAGAGTGTGTGACCGTGATGGCCTCTTCTCGGCGGAGTCCGGGAAGTGGACACGGTGTTGGAGTAATGTTTGCGTAGGTTGTTCTCTAGCTTCTCGCTCGTGCTTTGCCTCCTCTTCTCGCTCTCTTTTGCGAATAAGTTAGCCACCACACTTGTTAGTCGCGTGCTGCAGCTCCACTCATATTTTACCTTGCCATACCCATAAGCTTAAATAGTCTTGATCGCGAGGGTGCGAGATTGCTGAGTCCCTGTGGCTCACAGATTACTATTACACCAGATGCAGGGCCTGATGATTCTGCTCCAAGAGACGCGTACGAGCTCAAGTGGGAGTTCGATGAAGACTCTCAACGATACTACATTTCCTTTCCCGATGATCAGTAGTGGTGCCCAGTTGGGGGTGATTGGGACCGTGTCGCATGTTGGGTTCTCTTTTATTTTGGCGCCGTAGTTGGGCCATGAGTGTTTGGACGATGTAATGTTATTTATGCACTTGATTGACGTGGCGAGTGTAAGCCAACTATGGTATCTCCCTTTTTATTATCATATTACATGGGATGTTGTGAAGATTGCCTAACTTGCGACATATGCCTTCAATGCGATTATGCCTCTAAGTCATGCCTCGACACGTGGGAGATATAGTCGCATCGAGGGTGTTACAAGGGGGGCACCCCATAGACACACAAATTGATCATTGATATTTAGCCGTGTGTGGTTCCCCCCTCCACCATAATCCACCTCAGTAATATCGTAGTGATGCTTAGGCGAAGCCTGTTCCGGTAGCAACATCATCACCGTCATCACGATGTCGTGCTGACGAAGCTCTCCCTCGAAGCTCTACTGGATCGTGAGTTCGCGGGACGTCACCGAGCCGAGCCTGTGCAGATCGCGGAGGTGTCGTATCTTCAGTACTAGATCGATCGATCGTGAAGACGTATAACTACATCAACTGCGTTGTCATAACGCTTCCACTTACTATCTACGAGGGTACATAGACGATACTCTCCCCTCTTGTTGCTATGTATCACCATGATCGTGCGTGTGCATAGGATTTTTTTTAAATTACTGCATTCCCCAACATAAACTCATTATTCGCATGGTTGCAAGCTATTCATGATGGTGTATTAACGAGAGGGCCCAGAGATATCTCTCTGTCATATCGAGAGACAAATTCTAGTCTTGATCCATGCAACCCAACAAACACTTTCCGAGATACCTATAGAGCACCTTTATGATCACTTAGTTACGAAGTGACGTTTAATAACACACAAAGTAATCTTCTGGTATTCGGGAGTGGCACGATCTCATGGTTATGTAACAGATACTTGACATGAAGAAGTTGTAGCAAATAAACAAAGTGATACGATCTGATGCTAAGCTTACGGTTGGGTCTATCAATCACATCATTCTCCTAATGATGTGATCCCATTATTAAATAACAATTCATGTCGATGGTTAGGAAAGCTTAACCATCTTTAACCAATGAGCTAGTCTAGTAGAGGCTTACTAGGGACACGGTATTTATTTGTGTATCCACACATGTATCTGAGTTTCTGGTCAATACTATTAAGCATGGATAATAAACATTTATCATGAACAAGTAAATATGATAATAACTTCTTTATTATTGCCTCTAGGACATATTTTGAACAGTTAGAATATTAGGCAAGTTCATGATTAATTCCAGTAAATAATTCATGACTGGAATAGAGACTAGCAAGCAACAATCTAGCAAATTAGATGAACATCAAAACAAGCACACCAGCATCGCATACAAAGTAGCAACTACAAAGAAAGACATGAACATACCATGAAGGACGTACTGTTCGTTAGTTGCTGCAGGAGCGACAGTGTTGCTGACGATGTTGGCGCGATATGTTGTTAACGGTGATGAGTAGCACCACCCAACTTGGACGAAAGATGACCCATGATGACGAACTTGAGAAGTCGTGCAGAGTGTTTTCCAAAAAACCTAATTCGTCCTTTTCCAGTGCAGGATCGCAAGTATGAACGATTCCGGAGACCTGCTCTCCCGCACGTTGATGAACGCCGGCGTTTGGCATAGAGTAGACTACGGTGATGGCGCAAGTTGCAAGATGAGGCAAACCCCTAGGTGTATTCGGTGTGTCTTTGGTCGAGGACGGTAAGTTGTATATATAGGAGAACCAGAGACGATATCGTGTCCCGATGACGATCTCAAACAAATTTGATTGTTAAGTCAAACTTATCGGACAAGAAAACAGTAAACTTGTTCATCAAGACACCAAAAAATAAAACGACAAAAGGAAGTAGCGCCCCTGCGAGGCAACAAACCGGATTTCGGCGGACCATTCACGCGCATGTCATACGTTTGCGCTGCCTTGGGCCCGGCCTAAACTTAGAGCCACCACTTCACTATTTTATTCATGGGCTACTATTTGAGATTTCAAGAAAAATTATGAGCCTAGTCCATTTATTTCTAACCCGTAGTACTACTGTTCACTGTCATACCCGTTTCTACTGGTGAAATCGTTCCGTGGATAAAAAGTTCCTGCTGACATCGTCTACGGCTGTAAGTGTCACGTGTCAGCTTGCACAGGTCCCATATCGATATGTTTCGGCGATATTTCTGGCGATTGAATGTTGCCATGTTGTTTACACTATTGCACATAAATTGCCATGTTGTTTACACTATTGCACACAAATTGCCATGTTGTTACACTAAAGTTGCCATGGTATGTATCAACTACTTTTTGTTTTACGTTTAAAGTAATTTTGACATGTTATAAAAAGGAAATTAAAAAACTAAATTTGCCATGGAGAATTACTAAAATTTGCCATTATCCATGAAATAATTTTGACATGCTTCATAACTAAAAAGAAATCCATCATCAATTACTTTAAAAATGCATAGTCAATGACTCAAATTTGCCATGAACCAGAAACTAAAATTGCCATGGTGAATTGCTTAAATTTTTCATACTACAATTTACCATGGTTCATACAAAAAATAATTTCCATGGTCAAAATACAAAAAATATCATGATCTATAAACTAAAAATTGTCATGATGAATTACTAAAAATTGCCATGATTCATGAATTAAACTTGTTGTGATTAATTACTAAAAATTGCCATGGTCAATTAATAAAATTTGCCGTGAAAAGCAGTTGAAATACAATGGTAGCTTCAAATCTAGAAGATTTTTTTTAGATGAAACATATTATGACAAATTTAGTGTAAACACTATGACAACTTCAGTGTAACATCATGGCAACTTTTGGCTCCAAAAGAATGTCGTCGAAACATATCAATGTCGAATGTCGAATCTAGTTTTGAAGATCTCGTCGAGACAAATTTAATGATGAAAACGGATTTTTAGTTGGATTTTTATTTAAGAGATAAAATAATTTTATGTCTGAAAAACCAAAAGAAAGTCTGATGATATCATCTGTTTGATGTGGCAAAATGGATGGTAATAAGACGTTTGGATCATGTTACTTCGTGTCATACGTGTGGCACTTATCATTTGGGTGTTTTTTTATTTTGCAAAAAAGGCCAATGTTTTTTTGGAGATGGTGTTTTCTGCATTTCTGTGTTGCTTTATGATGGTTGATCGTCAGGCAGCAACCCCCGCACATCTCCTCCCTCCTCCACCAGCTCCCCATCCTCAACGAGCTCGCACCACCCGCTGCTACCCAGCATGGCCGCCGCCGCCACCGCCGTCCGCTTCCACACGGCCGCCGCGCGACGCGCCGCCCCTCGCCGACCGGCGCGCTTCGCCGTGCGCGCGGATGCCGCGCAGGCGGCGACGGCGCTGACGCAGGATGACCTCAAGAGGCTTGCGGCGGTGCGTGCGGTGGAGCAGGTGCAGAGTGGTATGGTTCTGGGGCTCGGGACAGGCTCCACGGCCGCCTTTGCCGTCGCCGAGATCGGTGCGCTTCTTGCCAACGGGAAGCTCTCCGGCATCGTCGGTGTGCCCACTTCCAAGCGCACCTTTGAGCAGGCCATGTCCCTGGGAATCCCTCTTTCCACGCTCGACGACCACCCCGTGATCGACCTCGCCATTGACGGCGCTGACGAGGTCCTCCCTCTTTTCTCATTGCTTCTTTACCACTATGCATAAAAGTGTAATTTCCATTGTTTGTAGGGATATTTGGAAGATGGGAAAAAAACACCTCTTGCTAGAATTTCTGTCATACTCCACTTGGAGCATGAAAGATGTTTTTAGTTGATGGACGATATTTGGAAGATGATAAAACACCTTTTGCTAAAATTTCCATCTTTCTTGCTTTCCGAGCATGAAAGATGGCTCTGTCTTACTACTGTACTTCATGGACGATAGTTCAGACTTCCTGTCTGTATCATTTTAGTTCTGACATTTAACATGTTACTACGAAGGAGCAACCATTTATCTTGTATGTATGCCGTTATCATGCAGGACTGTCAGCACTCTGAAAGTGTATGCCTTCCTGTCACTGCTTCGGTCGAATGCCATGATGTTGCGGAGCTAAAATGAATGGTCAATCACAACAACTGCATGTTCACTTATTTGTCCTTTGATTTTTTTATTAGGAGGGGTTGCCGTAGCGAGGTTCAGATTCTCCTCTTCATTGTTTTCTAAGAACCATCGGTGATTAACCTTGTTCCTTTTTTTTACTACTATAAACAGGTTGATCCAGATCTTAACCTTGTGAAAGGGCGGGGTGGAGCCCTTCTCCGGGAGAAGATGGTCGAAGCTGCATCAGGAAAGTTTGTTGTTGTCGTTGATGAGACGAAACTAGTTACTGGCCTAGGAGGGAGCGGTCTTGCCATGCCTGTGGAAGTTGTGCAGTTCTGCTGGAAGTACAATCAAGTAAGACTGCAGGGTCTGTTCAATGAAGAAGGTTGCGAGGCAAAGCTGAGATTGAATGAGGATGACAAGCCCTATGTTACTGACAACTCGAACTACATCGTAGATTTATACTTCAAGACGCCAATCAAGGATGCGTTGGGCGCGGGCAAGGAGATTGCAACTTTGGAAGGAGTTGTTGAGCATGGGTTGTTCTTGAACATGGCAAGCTCAGTGATCATTGCTGGATCAGACGGTGTCAGTGTCAAAACAAAGTGAGTTTTTTGGGTCGGCTATTGTTGACGTGTTGAATTTACGGTTTTTCACTGAATAATCTATCTGTGTAAAAGGAGGAAATAATGTTCTTCTCAAAATATATTTTTTCCATGTTTCGATGGCTCGGTTTATTTTGGGCTTGAAAGAGTCACATTGCAGAAAAAACACCACTTCAATTGATTGAAGCCCTGGTGATCGTGACAAGTCAATGACATTAATCTTTTTGGGCGACAATCATCTTCTAGAACAACACTTTGAATAAATTTGGGAGCCTGCATGTATATCAGACAATTCAGAATACAGCTCACCACAAGCTTATTCATTACCTAACATGCTACATACTCAAGGAAGCAAAAAAAAAATATTGTACGGCTTAGACTTACCTGTTAAAAGTTTTTTTTTCTGCGAACCAACCTGTGGTTGAGATGGTTAGGTGGACAGTGATATCCCCAACCCATCAGGGTTCAAATCCTGGTGCTCGCATTATTCCTGGATTTATTTCAAGATTTTCGGTGATGCACTTTCAGTGGGAGGAGACGTTCCCGTCGACGACGAGGCGCCTACGGTGAGTTCGTAAATCTCAAGATGATATGCCGGCTCAGTCTCTCGAAGGTGCTCATAGGAATAGGGTGTGCGTGTGTGTGTTCATAGGGATGAGTGTATGCGCGTGTATATGAGCGCTTGTGTCTGTACTGGTGCTAAAAAAAAGCTCTTTTTCTTTCAAAAATGCCTAATAGAGCTCGAGCTACCTGGCGCTCTTTATCTGGGGCGTTAGCCTTCAGCTGGATCCGTGTCAGCAGCGTATTTGTCTCACGTATTCCACGTGGCATCATTTTATCCCGCTCCGTATTCCATTGTTATCAACATGGCTATCCCAGCTCGCATGCATATGAACACGTCCAGCCCCCATCCCACTTCCTGTTCGCGTGCGCCCAGTCAATGCACATGCCTTGTCAAATGGTAAACGTTTCGGGCCGAAGCGCTCCACCGGTTCGCTCCCGCTGGCTTCCTTTTTTCACGCGCGAAACAGGCTGGCAACCCACGCTTGGTGAACCCAAACGTTTTCTTTCTTTATTTTTTTTCTTTTTCTCTCCTTCTTCCTTCCGCTTTCTGTCTGATCTCATCCCATCTCCCGCAGTACAAGCTTGCCGACGTCAGCGGCGCGACCCCCTGCTGCTTTCATGAGCGCCACCTATCTGTCATTGCAAGCATCTCCTCTCCCAAACAAAACCCAAAAGTTTTTGCTCCTTCATCGATGCTGCAATCGGCGACCTAAAAGCTACAATCAACGACGACAAAAGCTTCAACCAAAAGACGCTGGCGCGCCACCGGAGAGCAGCGGCCGCGTCCTGCGACGGAGCAAGCCACAACTGGAGCTGCGACAGGGGCTCACAGGAAGTTGCAACCAGCGACCAAGTTTGCTGGAACCGGCGGGGAGTTTTGCTGGAACCACCCCCAAAAATGCTACCACCAGAGTTCGTCCTGCTGGAACATCGATATTTTTGCTACAAGCGTAGCCTGTTTTTGCTACCACCAGTGACTTTTTTTTCTACATGCATGCACTGCGGTGTTGGCCGATGGCGGCGATGCATTTCTTTTGCTGCAACCGAAATGCTACCATCGCTTTTTGTTTTTGCTAGAACCGACGCCCACATTTGCTACCATCAGCTTTTGGTTTTGTGCTGAAAAACATATCGTTTGCTGCAAATCCATCTCCTGGTCACTACTTCCGTCAGTCGTTGTGGTAGCAAAAAAGCTCGCCGGTAGAAGCTTTTTGTCTTGTCGGATGCAACAAATGAGGCGGACGCCAGCGTCGCCACAGAAAACACTTCAGCCGATGCACCAAAACTACATGCTGGTTCCAGCTTTTTATTTGTCGGTTGTAGCTAAACAAGAAACTGGTGTTGCAATCGGCGGCGACGGTCGTCGATGATTTCACTCGTAAGTGGGAAATGCTTCAACCAGCATAGGAAAAGCTTCATCCTGCGGTGGAAAAAGCTTCAACAGGCATGAGGGAAAAGTTTCAAACAATGGAAGAAAACTTCAAGCATGAAAAAGCTTCAACTTGGTGGTGCAAAAGCTTCAAGCGACGGCGGAAAAAGCTTCAAGCGGCATGGGGGGAAAGATTCAACCTGCGAAAAAGCTACAACCATAGTGTGTGGGAGATGCAACCGTGAACTATTTTTGCTGGAACCAGTGACCACGGCAAGCAAGAGGTGACCATGGCGAGCACGACGGTCACCGCGGTGAGCGGGAAACCATGGGGGTGGTGAGCTGGGACTCTGGTCAGGAGGTGCTGAAACCCGTGTCTGTGTTCTAGAACTGTTACTACGGCGAGCTGCGACGTTGGATCGGTGTTTTTATGCTGGAACCGTGGCTGCCTGGCGAGGATGGCAAGCAGCGGCTAGCTTGGGAAAGAAGTGAAAGGAAGCGGCAGCAAGCAAGTGGCGGCGCGCCGGCGCGGGGTCGTTGGGGTGGATACTGCGGGCGCTGACGGGACGGGGAAAGAAGTGGAAGGCGAGAGACGGGGGAAGGAGAGGATGCGGAAGCCAGATCAGATGGCTGCGCTTCGCTGCATCGGGTGGCTACGGTGCGACCGGCCCAACTATTGGGCCGGCGTGCCGGCGCCTAATACTGCCCTTGTCAAATCCTACAATCAGCCACTCCGAACCTAGCATTCAGTGACTGGCAGTTGATAGCAATCGAGTACTCCCTGAAAATGCACGTATTTGATCCGTTTTCTTTGAAAATATTTCATAAAACAATCCTTTTTCTCGATGCCCTGATTTTTCACCTCCGAAGCTTGTTGTCTTATTTTTGCTCCGACCGTCTTAATATAAACTAAAAAAATGTAACATGAAATCTGTTTCATCATGAAAAACATCCCATTGTAACACTCCACCTCTGCCACTCCGACACACCTTCGTGGATGATATAGAAAATGGGGTGAATTGAAGGCCCAGTTTTTATTAGTTAATATTCACAATTGCGGTTTGTCCTTTTTGCTATTCTAGATATGTGCTTTGAATTCGGGTCTAAACTTATAAAACCGCACTGCATATGTATTGTACTTACATGGTTTGCCTCAAAAAAAAACCTACAAGTCTCAAAAAAGAACTTACATGGTAAAACCAACATGTATTTTTTCTGATATATCTTAATGCTCGGGCGCACTGGATACTTTACATTTATTGGGTACCCCCAACCATTTGCAAAACGGGCGTACATAGTTTAAAATATCTTATGTATGCACATTGAAAAATTCCTAAAACATTTTTTTGTAGTAACAAGAATCTATGTACCACAAATTTTCAAATGCAAATTTGAAGCATAATATGAGAAACACAAAATGTCAAATTCATTGTCGTTACATGGAATGGGCCCGATTGAAGTCCCAGATTGCATTAGTTACTATTTCAGATCATGATTTGTGTTTTGTATTATTTTAAGAGAAGTATTTTGAATTTCAGTCTACAATTTCATACCTTGGGCTGATGCTAGTAATGAAAATTTCCATCTCTCATTTATTGTCTCACCGGCCTACACCTTTGGCCACATGGGCCAAAAGCAAATTCTCCCACGAGGCACATCAGCCCATGGCACCAGTCCCCTGCATGGTACCTCTATATTTCCACATGGAACTGACACTGTATTAGACTGGAAATCCACGTCATACACATCCCAATGGGCAAATGCTTGGTTGGGATTCCGAGCTCCAGGTAGCTCATCCTCCAAAACACCCCTCTCATTTTCTTCTTCTTATTTTCGAGAGGAAGACTTGGCTGCATATCCATCTGATCTTTCAAGACAACAGGGGCAACACGAAAACAGTCTTCCAAGGTAGAAATACAAAAACAAGAACAACCGAATTGAAACTTTATCAAGATACCAGCAAAATCTTCAGATAACTTATAGTATTAAAGCATATCCAAAACTATTCTTTTCTCAAAATGTCAATAGAGTTTTGGAGTTGTATTCACAAGACCATTTCAGGTCAGAAATTTGAATTAGTCATCCACAGGAGGGTGGGGTGGGTGGGGGTAGTGAAACTGTACGGCCTGAACCTAATAAAGATGGAAAATTAGTGTGGGCTTATGTTTTCCTTTGGAGGCCTCTCCTTATAACCCCGTTTGTTTTCCTTAGGAGACGCCTTCCCGGGCCCAAAAGGCTTTAGCAAGACCCCCAGCTCCTGAAATCTCTCATGTTGGAGTAACTAGGAACTAAACTCAAGCAAGCCCTTGAGAGCCTCAGCTCTCTGCCTGTATGGCGTCGTGTCGAACCTCTTATGCCTCCAATCACATGACTTTCAAGTGAATTATTGTCGGCACTGAGCAATTTCGGATCATGAGTGTTCGTGTGGCTTTCGCTGTCGCTCCGGAGCACCTAGAAAGTGCATTTGTCCTTGGTGATCGATTGGTCGGTGATAGATGGTGGCAAGAGATTCATGATGGGAAGCAATAGATCTTTAGAGGATGCCAGTGGGAATTCAGCAATTATGTCGATTGGAGGTGCCTTAGCTGAAATATCTGGAGACTTCAATCTGGCACGAATGTCGGCGACTCGCCTCTTCTCATGAGCATTGAACATGCATGGGGAAAGTGATGCTTGCCGCATAGCTTGTCTTGTCTGGTCCACTGAAGCCCTTGATGTGGGAGGTTGCTGGTATCAAAACAAGAAAAGGTTAATGCATAATATTTGATCAAAGCACACACAATGCGTCACACATCCACTACATATAATGCTTCACACATGAACTTCCTACGAAAGGAAGTCTTCAAACTTTGGATGAGATGTTGGATTTTCAGCAAGGGGCGATAAAATGGCACTTCCTTTTGTGGGACTAAAGCTTGGTGAAATATTTGTGATGAAGAATTGATTAGAGCAACTCTAGTAGACCCTTTGAATCGTCGACCCGTATCGCGTGTTTACAGTTTGCGGAAAATGCATTTTGCGGGCTTGCCCGGGATGCGACCGAACAGAACCCGCATAGCGGAACTGTAAAA